TGATATCCAGCCAAAATATTGCTCAAAAAACTAAAGGAACTTTGCTTACTGTCCTGGCATCACCAACATCGACAGCATTGACTCAAATTCCGCCGCTATCTGTAACTGTTCCTTCTGCCACCTTAAGACAGAGTACCTCTTCAGTAAATCAGGCTACACAGCCTTCTGTTAATGCAGTATCTTCAAGTCAGATTAGGAATTTATTAACTCAAGCTACATTACCTGTGACTGTTTCATCAGATTCTACTTCGTYAAGTCAGAATGTGACTTTAATCACCCAAGCTGCACATCTACCATCAAGTCAGAATAGTAACGTGGKTAGTCATACTGCACTTCYTTCTTCACMATCGTCGGYAGCWTCARTTCCTTTAAAGTCGCTGGCTTCTGTTWCTACAGCTGCTATTCCTRCGAGTACGATAAATYTATCTGGACTGCCAATAACAGCTTCTTCACTCAAGAGTGTTCCTATCACATCGTCGGGAGTCGTCAAGGTAGCACAAGGCGTTATTCAAGACCCTAAAAATAATGTCAATGTTACRTCGTCTKCTCAGGAGAGTYTAGGAATGACSTTGACCAAAACTCTTATTAATACAGCTATGAAAGCTTCTCAAAATGTACCCGTRGGGAGTGCAGCTAAACAAGTGACMGTGGCATCAACTCAAAAGATAGCTCAACCAAAAGTTGTAAAGACAGTGAGTGCAACTCGTCCTCAAGCCATTGCAGCTAAACCGACTCAACAACTACGTGCAATAGCTCCACAACCGASAGCACCTCTCATTCAGGCAGGGCAAACCACTGTTCTTCAGAACTCTCCTCAGACAAGYCAAATCAACTTCCCCTTGCTGTCGGGAAATACACTGCAAGGAGGCGTCGTCAAGATTAGCACTCCGGGTGTATCMAATCCTGGGACGCCGGTCAACAACATCGCTGCATTGGTAGCCAGTCTTCCTGGAAATGCTGGCACTCCTGGTCAGCCTCAGTTGATCCGATTCGTTACACCATCCGGAGCAAGTTTTACAGTACAGGGTACAATACAGCCAGGGCCTCAAGGAAGTGCGGCTGGATCCACTACAATTAATGTCCCTAAGAGACTTCTYGCTAGTTCGTTACCTGCAGTGACGAAGCCAGTGGTCGTTGCACCCAAAACTGTCGCCGCAACTACAAACCGTACCACAGTAACAATCCCCAGATCCCAGCAGCCGGTTGTAYCAAAAGTCACCAAGACTGCCTCAACTCCAGAGAAAAAAGAAAATTATCCAGTCCTGGAACCTCTCGTAAAAGATCCACGTAAACTTATTRAYCGCGTGATGTCTAAGTGGCGGAATAATCGATGTAGTGTTAAAAGTGTGTTTCAGCTCAAGAAGCATGAAAGAAGAATTCTTGGGCGTCGTGCTGGGATGCGKGAAGTCCCTGGGTATATGTATGTGACWCGTGGGTCGGGAATTAACTGGCCTCCGTCTTTTCCTCGTCCAAGCTTCAAAGTGGCGTGGAGATACCGGTCACGCAGTCTCAGAACATTGGCTGGTGCAGGCTTACAGGCGAGAATACTTCATGCGTGTTTAAAGTGGGAGGATATCAATATCAGACCGCCAAGATCTAATAGTTCCACTATTTGCACCGGYACCGGTAAGTGACACTCATATTCGWTATTTCTCTCATTCTTTTATCCSTTTCTTTTCTTTTATTYAATTCTATATTCGCTTCACTTACAATCTCTTCTCCTCAATTTTTAAACTAACTCTTGTTGTTGAACTTTTCTTCTCTTTTCCCTGTTGATTTTTATCACTTCATTTCGTTCTCTTTTCTTGTTTCTTTTCCTTGTTTTCGATAACGATCTTCATGGAAAATCATCACACTTTAATTGTTGTATTCAGGTACAACTAGCAGTGAAGTCATCAACCATCGCTATGTCACACCAGACGGTCTCAAATGCGAGTATCTAGTACGAAAAATAGTGCGTACAATGCGAAAGCCTGCGCCAGAAATACCCCGTCCCCCTCCCCCCACAGTCAGTAAAAGAGGACGCACATTGAGACCGAAGATCAACTTGCAACCGGACGATGAAGATGAAGATGAGATCATTCACACGGGTCCTAGAGTTTTTGAATCATGGTGTCCAGAGGTAAGCGTGATCTTTCCCATGTCTTTCTGTCTGTCTGTCCACTTGTCTGTATSGCTTAATTTCAAATAGATTGGATAATTATTAATTCATTTTTTTCCGGTTAGTCTGAACTTGAACTATGGGAAGTGCGCCAGTACAATGARCGCAAAGAAAGAGAGAAAGCGCTTGAACGCGAGAAGAAGTTACAGGAAGAGGCAARTCGTCGAGCTGCTGARCTCCGTGCCGCTGCCATWCAGCGAAGACAACAAGAACAGCAAGYAAAACAGCAGCAGCAAATTTTGAAAAAGAAAGTCCAAAACGCAATTAAAACTCAACAAAAGAAACTCACCAATGTCTCTCAAGCAACGCCTCGTGCTGGTTACAAACCTATAACCATGRMAACCATGGCGGCATCGGGTATCACCAGTGCRCAAGTCATCAGGCCCGCTACAGTTCCTAGGCAACAAGTACCGCAARTCACAAACTTAGTGACGCAGTACAGGCCTRCKTCATTAAAGCAAACACGTGTTCCTATTGGTTCACCTGCTACTGGCATGATTCGTACTGTTACCCGAGCACAGGTCAATTATCGTCCCCTGGCT